AACTTTTTTTATAAACATATCTCATTCATAGCTAACTGAATGAAACAAAAAAATATATACTGAATGATAAACGAATAAACAAAATATATAATCTACAGATTTTGGTTACAGGACGTTTGAAGACCCCTGTAGATGTTTTCACCTCGACTACTCTCGTAACATTGTCCTTTTCTGGAAATACTGCCGTGATCTGCAATAACGACTACATCCCCAACCGCAACAGGTTCATCATCCTTGATCCATTTTGCACGCTTCGATAAAGTCGGTAAATATTCTTTGATCCATCTTGACCAAAATATCTCTGTCAGCCTTTGAGACTTCTTCCACTGCTTTCTTAGGTTTTGTTCTTCGAATTTTGTTGGAAATGGATTTTCTGAGGGCGAACTAATCAGTAGATGATTTGGCGTTAAACACTGAGGATCGGAAGGATCGGCTGAAACATAAGTTGATGATCTACTATTTACTGCATACTCAGCTTCCGCGAACCATGTTGATAAAATTTCATCCTTAGGAGATTTTTCCTTTGAAGTAACCCCCAAAATTTTCTTCACCGAGCATATTAACCTTTCCCAGCATCCACCCATATATCGACTACCAGGTGGAATGAAGTGCCATTCTATCTCCATCTCTGTCATTCTTCGAGTTAGCTCCTGGTAATCAAGTTCATGGTACAATTTCAAAAGTTCTTCATTCGCTCCCTTGAAATTTGTGCCATTCTCTGAATGAAGGCATCTGATTGGACCCTGGCGTGATATCATCCTCCTTATACCCATTATTGTACCATCAGCAGTGAGGGAGTGTGCGATTTCCAAGTGAATTGCACGAATTGTCATACAAGTGAAAAGAACTCCCCACCGTTTCAACCATTCTAACCATCTATGGAAGATTGTTTTTGGAATCTTATCGTCCCATCCGATGCCACTTCGCCAGATTGCCTGTAGAATGATTTTTCCCTTAATAGACAAGAATATGAGAAAGCCTAAGGGATCAAAAATTGACATAAATAACTGCAAAACTTGGCGGTTTGTAGTAATCACCGTACCGTCAGTTATTTCTTTGGGAACCATATGATAAACGACTTTGAATGTAAACGAATCAGATTTCACATCACACCATACTCCTAAAATGCGGTCCAACGATGACTTATTGAAATATTTTTCGACATGTTCGTTTCCGTATTTTGAGATAACCAAAGGTGAATTTGAAGACCAATTTACAATATCAAAACCACCATTTTTATGGAGTTCAATTATTCTTTCGATTTTTGAGAGTGCTTCTTGCTCTGTATCACAACAATCCAGATAGTCATCATCATAGAAATTTCTCTCAACATCTTTAATCAATTCAGGATATTTCGATTGCTTGGCATTTAAATTTTTAACATATTGTGCGGAACATGGAGAACAAGAAGCACCGAACATCATCACCTGTAACTCGTATTCATCCACCTGCCTATGTTGCTCGCCATTTCGCCAAAGAAACCGCTGTGCACATCTATCCCCCTTGCGAATTTTTACTCTATGGAACATCTCGGTTATATCCCCACAGAAACCCCATTTCGATCGACGAAAGCGCATCAGAACACCTGGTAATAAAGTCAGATAATCCGGACCTTGCAGAAGGTTTTCATTTAAGCTGGTACCATTACTCTTAGCGGCAGCGTCAAAAACAAGTCTCAACTTATTGGGCTTATTAGAATTTACGACACCAAAATGTGGAAGATACCATGTGCGAGAATTTTGTTCAATCGCCTTAGAAGTTTCTAATTTTCGAATTTACCCCTTTTTCATTTTTTTCTCGATACAAAACAACCTTCTCATAGCATTTGATTTACTTTCTGGTAAAGTTACATTGTCATTTTTCCAAATCAACCCTGTCTAATATCGTTTTTCATTTTCTAAATAAACTGTGTTTTTTTCCAAAATATCAAGGGCTCTTCTATGAGCAATGTCAATAATTCTATTATTAACGGAAACACCAAATGATTCGGTACTAAAAGATTTCCTGACTAGACGATTCAGTTCATCATTGTTATCGCAGGAACAAATGTGGAAGCTATATACATTTTGATCAGATTCTGAAGTGTTACCATGGATAACCCATCCTAAATTAGTTTTAGTAGAAATTGGACTATGTTCAGAACCCTGATAAACTTTTCTTGCTACTGTTAAATGGATATTGTCCTGACCTATGAGAACAGTACGATTTGCATCTACCATATCTTGAATAGGTAGTCCCTGAAGATGTACATAATCTTTGAAATTATCCATCACGATGGTTTGAGAAGGTAAAGACAAATTTGTTACTGTTCTCAAACCAGTCATTTGGAAGATTCTTGCCCCTTCATAAACTCCAGAAACTTTCAAATTGATACATTTTAAACCTTCATCATATGAAACGATATTCTTAGCCCATTGCATGCATAAAGGTTTGGTTTCCCCTGATAATCCTAGTTGTTCTGCGATCTGACTTTCTATCAAAGATATGGTTGACCCCTCATCGAACAGAGCATAAGTATTTATATACCCTTTTGGGCCATAAATTTTGATAGGAGCTATCCTGAGAAGAACTTTAGAATTATTGTTGGTGAGACAAACTGTTTGAACACTTTAATCAATTTTTTCAGTATGAGAAAGTTCATTAGAAACTTTACTTTTATGCAGAAGGATATGGTGGCGTAATTTGCATCCTTTAAAGCCGCAGCGTTGTTTTGATCTACAAAACCTCTTTGAATAACCAGTTTTCAAACAACAGAAGCAAATTTTGGTTTTGTATAATTTTGACCAACGAATATCTATGCTATCATTTTTCAATATGGAACAATTGTAAATTTCATGATCAGTTTTATTACAGTAAAGACATTTAGGGTCATCGTTTGCTTGATTTGTAGCAACCAAGATATTTTCCGATCTTGAATTATTAAATTTTTTCTGATGGTGAGTGGTAGTAGGGAATGTTCTTTAACTTACATAACATGCAGCTGAAGATGATTCATTTGCCCAGATTCCAAAATCTTTCAAATTCACCTTACCTCCTTTTAGCACCATCTTCTGTCCCCACTGTAATTTCAGACTATAGGGTAATTTTTCTACCAACTGCTTCAGTAGAAACGAATTATTCAAATGATTACTTGCCTCAAATTGTCCCATCGTAGCCACCAGGTTATTGACGTGACATGAAAATTTAACAAAATTATAAAAATCGCCATCTCTAACAAATTGCAAATTCTGAGTTTTGTTTATCAAAGAACCAATGACGTATTCTGGACGATCAAAACGCATTTCTAATGTTTCAATAACATGAATAATATTTTTGGGGTGCAATAATAAACTCCTTACCGCTTCAAGAGCTTCTCCTTTCAGGCACCTCTCTGTAACATTAGCATCACTTCATCATCTGAGTATCGATAGATAACAGTTTTTCTGTTGAATTGGCTGATGAATAATGGCCAGTCTTCTGGTTCACCATCAAAAAAGGGTAGTTCCTTAGCAATTGCATGATTATTTGAACAATTTTCCCTCGAACTACTTCTAATGGCATCGGCAACAAGATGACATAATTTAGAAATGTCATTTTCCTGTGACACTTTTGTGTTTGGAATTTTCGTTATTTCTGATGAAAAAGTAACAGAATGCACTTCACACGTATCGACCCATTCTTGTACTCCTCTGAACATGCTTTTTTTATCTGTACTCTCTGCAAGCGATTTTTTCGAACTGATATCTCTTGTAGAGCATAACTCTTCCTCAGTCTCCAACGCTAAACGCTTCCTTTCAATTTCTACCCTCTTTGAAGATACCTTGGATTCATTTGATTTCCTTGCTGATTTTCTAGTAGAATCTGATACTTTTGATGGATACCTGATTGATCCTGGATCTGTTCCATCCCTACTGCCAGTTCTATTAGATTGTACATGAAATCCGGAACCTTTTGGCTCTTCTATGGGAGCTGGACAATTTCCAGCACCTGAGTTGCGTCTCCTTGCTGATGCGAAGACATGAAAATATTTGATTCTGACTGAACAGTGTCATGAATACTCTGAATATTACTCTCTAATGCCAGCGGCCATCGAACATAATCATCAAAATTATTGGTCTTGCCAGCATTTTTTCTCTGAGATCTTCTTCGATATTCAGACATGTTTCCTTTTCAGTACGTATCTGTGGACTGTAAATACTATATTTTGATGTCTAATCCGGTTAAAGGACCATATAATTTCCTTAGAAACTTTATTTTTCCAGAAAATACCAAATTATACTTTTTGACGTCTATTGACATTTTTTGACAATCAACAACTACAACTTTTTTTATAAACATATCTCATTCATAGCTAACTAAATGGAACAAAAAAATATATACTGAATGATAAACAAATAAACAAAATATATAATCTGTAACACTCTATATTAGAAAATAAACCCTATTAAATAAAACTTATGTATCCTTGAATGTAGTACATACCTTCACCAACAACATATACATAGCAATTTTTCTCACCAATATAACACAAATTGTAAATTAATAAATAAGCAAACAAATGAGATTTGAGGAATTATTCAAAACAAACACATGCTTAGTGAACAAACGCTAGGTTTCAACTGCTCTCATGTCGCAAATAATGGACATACACAGGTAACGATGGTCACAAATGATGACCCATTTATCTACCTATTTTAATGTCCATTATTACTTGTGACAATTGAAGTTGACAAATTTCATTTGTGGCCAGGTTTTAAGTGATTTTACCGCTCTGTGCGACGTTTCGAATTTAATTAAATTCTTCTTTAGGGCTCGAAAAGTAGTTTTTTCGTGTTAATTATATTACTATTTCAAAAACTCTCAGGCATATATTTGAAAAAAAATGTAAAACATTGCAAACAACCAAAATTTCCGAGACAACACCAACACAAAACGACATGGAACAAACGAATGGCTTTATCTGTGATTCTGATAAGGTGGTGGTATCATAAGCCTAATGAAAAGACAAATATATGTTTCAGGATTCACTTCCTTCATTATTTACCGCAATACCTGCAGGATGTTCGACAAAACAACTTTGGCACTTTGCTCAGCTTATAGAGTCAGGTTGGTGATTCATTTCTCATATATTTTCATGGGTATAATTTGAAATTAAAAATATTTTAGGAAATTTCAAAACATTCGATTGGGGAGAAAAAGAAAATATAAAAAAATATGGAACTAAAACTCCATCAAGCTATGATTTCAGAAAAATTACTTTTCCAGTGGCCTTGATTTTCGGAAGAAATGACATGATAGTTACAAAAGAAGTAGGTTACTTTCAGCGAACATTTGTTGGAATCTGTTCAATTCGATATGTATTTCATTAATCAAGACTACACTCTCATTATCAATATATAGGTATGACAAGTAGCTACCATCTGGGTCTAAACCTAGAATTTTGCTGAGATATTGTTGAAGATACGAAAATGAATATTTTGAAATCATATTTCGAAATATTAATCTTTCTCAACTAGTAAACGTCTGTCGGAAAATAACTACTTTCCCGACTAATACCACACCGGATAATGAATTACATCCGACACTCTCAGACGCAGCCGTATTGAAATTAATCGAGTCTCAGGTACTTTGCTGTCTGGGTAAGATCTTTCCTGTACTGACGAAAGATAATACCTCGAAACCACGGGCTGCAGGTGACCTACTTGAATAATTTCAGCATGGTCCCGCTGCTGGATGGACGAGAAACTTCTGCGAGACTACCCTCTGTGAGGTAACTTGCATAAATGTATGTCGGATGTAATTACAGCGAGAATGTGCGATTTATAGCTAAGTGTGTGGAGTCTAGGATCACACCTAGATCTTTGGTTCCAATAGCAGAATGTTGGGTCCGATTATTTATACTATATTCGAATGTGATTGGGTGATGTGTTTAATGAAAGCGAATAATTTGACATTGGAATGCATTCAAACACATACCATTTTGCGAACACCAATTAGATAGGCAAGCTATATCGTTTTGTAGACACAATGTATCAGCTTCACTTTTAATTATTTTAAAACATTTTAAATCGTCGGCAAATAGCAAAGCTTCGATTTCATGGAAACAGCTGATTAGATTGTTGATAAAAAGGTTGTACAACAGTGGTCCTAAATTTGAACCTTGTGGAACACCCGATGTAACTGCGATGGTATGAGAATAGTAATGATTTTAATATTGTTAAAGAGTTTAGTTTTCAATACTTGATTACTATTTTCAAACACTTATTTCAAAAATCCTGTAGTACTTCTCATACTTCGAAAAGTAACTGTAAGCTTTCATTATGAAAAGTTCTTTCAATCATTCCATCATTTTGTAGGCAAGTTCAGACAATAAAACAGGTAGGTAAATCCAGAAGATCGGAACCTCCACTGCAACCTGCGATGGTTGATTGAGGCTCATATAAAGGGGTTCAATATAGGAGGGTTACAAACTGTCACGTTTGTGATGTCATTGTGATGATAGATGGTAGATTATACCTTGAGAGATGTGCTCTCAGCAATTATGTCTTCCAGCAAGGAAACTTATTGGAATATAATTCAACTAAAATTCTAGCAATTGAAGATAATGAGCTTAAGAAAATTTTCCAGACAGTAATGTTCCTCAACAGAAAAACTGTAATATCAAACACCTTAGTGCTACTTGGTATTGATAAAAAAATCATTAAATTCAGGATATTCATAACAATCATTTGCTAAGTTCCTATTATTAATGTTTTTTTTTATGTTTTTCACAATTTTCATGAAAGTCTAATGAATTTTTGTTATCTGACTTCAACTATTCGTAGCAATGTTCTCTTACTTCAGTTTTAAATCCTCTCGGTAGGTGTCTCTGATCATACTTTCAAATTGTGTTCCATAATTATATTTCAGTTCAGCACAGAATGATTTTTCTGAATCCCAAGTCAATTTTCACTGACAAAATTCTAATTTCTTGGTACAATATCACAGGTACCCACACAGCACTAGATATTCATGGAATATTCCCTGTATATCATAAAACGAACGTATATATTCCAAATATTACGATAAGTTCAACAGTTTTCATGATACTCTGTTATTTTATTTTAATTGTGAATGCCCAATAAAACCTATCAGAAAACATCAAAATCAAAAACCTGGAACTGAATGGGTTAACACTGAAATTAAAATGTCAAGTAAAAACCTTAAAGAACTTTATCAGCAGATGAAGACTAATCCTACAGAAATAGGTTATCCATATATAATGTGAATAAAACAGGCCCTAGTACAGTCCTTTGAGGTACTCCTCATGTTATTGTTTCTTGATGCTTGTTATATTTCCGATTTCGAATTCGAATATCCTTCCTTATTGCACATCTACAACATAAAACGAACCTACATAAACAATTATAGCCCCCGAAAATATAGCGGTACGGAGAAATAGTNTCGTCACATTCTTGGAATATTCCAAATATTCCTAGAATATTCATAAAATATATTTAAAGAATATTCTATGGTGTTTCTCTATTGTATATTCCTACAATAAACTAAGAATATCCTGAATATTTTATGAATATTCCTCGGGTTCTATTCCTGGAATATTCTTAATAGAATATACCTTAGATATTCTAAGAATATTATAAGATATTCCAAGAATATTCCCAAGGAATATTCTTAAAATATATCAAAGGTTCGCCAGGAGCACTTCCAGGGAATATTCTCCAGAAGATATATATATCCATGGCATATTCATAGCATAATACAATATCCTTAAATGTATATTCATGAAATATACCTGGAATATCTATTGCTATGTGGGTATGCAGTGACAATATGGTTATCATGCAGGTGTTTTATAAACCTATGGCATATTTGAATGTTTCATTTTTATGTAACTGTCAATGCTTCTAAATGATATGTACTTCATATTCAATTTTGGAAACTGGAAGAGGAAGACCTCTTATAACAACTACTGGTATAGTTGTTCAAGTAAATTAATAGTGCAACCTATCTTTAATAATATAGTTAGGGAGCTAACTAATTTTGTTAATTCGATAATATTAAATACTTCTTCTTTAATTAGCTCTATTATCTTCTTATCAAATTTTGGAAAATTATTTTTACGCCTGATGATTTCCCCAAATCAACTCGTTGGGATTGAAATCACGAAAATAGAGGGGAAGTCTCAGTACGGTGTGTCCACACTTTTCAGCAGTACTCTCAAGGGCAACTTCAAGTAGTTGGTTTTTGGTATAGTACTCTTCAAAATACAAATTGACATCCATTAAAAAACTTTTTATTTCATTTTTCCTCGAAATTTTATTCGAGTCTTTGATGAGCTGTCACGTTGTCAAGAACTATTACACTATTCGCTATTCACAATTCCTCAAAAATATTAGCTTCCATGTTCTTATGATAGTAAACATTGCAGTCCTCAAGTTTTTTGCCACATAATGTCAAAAATTACTTTTTTAATCCTTCTTCTGCCAGTCTTCTTCGGTAATATTAGATACTTCTTCTTTAACTAGCTCTATAACCTTTTTATCAAAATTTTGGAAAATTATTTTTACGCCTGATGCCTTGTTTCAATTTTCCCCAAATCAGCTTGATGGGATTGAAAACAGAAAAATAGGGGGGAAGTCTCAGTATGGTGTGTCCATACTTTACAGCAATACTCTCAAGGGCATACACTTTTTCAAATGTTTTTATCTGTAAAACTTCAAGTAGTTGGTTTTTGGTATAGTTGGCTTCAANGTCTGTAAAACTTCAACTAGTTGGTTTTTGGTATAGTTATCTTCAAAATACAAATTGTTATTCATTAAAAAACTTTGCATTTCATCTTTCCTCGAATTTTTATTTGGTACTTGGATGAGCTAGTCGCATCCAAATTTGGTATCGATGTGGTATTCATGTTCTTATGATAGTCAAAATCACAGTCCAAGTTTTTTCCACATAATATCAAAGAACCAAGGTAGGTCTGAAGTGAGTGTGTCTATTCGACCCTCCACCGCAACCTGCAAGGGTTTTTTGTGGCTCGCACCTATTCGCACTCGACCAAATAAACCCAGCTTCTTAACTGAGCCGATTAGTTTGTGTGGTGAGTGGTCTTTCAGGTCAGATGGTGAAGTACGGATCTGTCGAACTCAAAGAACCTGATTCGATCCCCAGCGGGGCAGGCGCAAAGTATATGCTCTGCAGTTTCATCAGTTTCCAGACAGAGGCGACACACACTGTCTTCCGACAGTCCAAGTCTCTGCATGTGATTATTCAAATGCCAGTGACCTGTAAGAAGGTCTGTTAGACATCGTAGTTCATCCCTACTATAGTCCAACAACTGTTTGGAATCAAGCTTCGAAGGGTGAATAAACGCCTTGGAGTGAGCCAATCCTGGAAGATTCTGCCAGAAGTTCATAACTCTTCTTGCCATCCAGGTGTTAAGTGTTTATTTGGCAAAGCCCAAAGCGATGCCAATGCCAGGTTCTGGTCCAATGGAGCCGCTTGCAGCACCCTCCTTTGCAAGAGAGTCAGCAGCTTCATTGCCTTCCAGGCCAGTATGGCCAGGAATCCAGACCAGAGACAATCTGTTTAGTCTTCCTGTCGAGGAGAGTCTTTTTTGGCAGTTTGCTACCAATTTAGACGTTGCTCGGTGGGAGCCAAGAGCTTCCAACGCCGCTTGACTGTCCGAGAATATTTTTATTGACATCAAAGAACCAAACTTGAGATGTTGATTCTTACATACATTGAAACATACTCTCTGTGTTTCCATATTCGAATGCATCCGAATCTTATTAACTGGTATCTCTTTTTCGCATCGTTCACCAGCGCTATTGAAATCACTACACAGGAAAAAGTCTGCGTTGTTATCACACTCGTTATTACTATTAGTACTTGTCGAAAGACGCCACATTTCAAACAGATAACAAAAATTTTAAGTAATTATAATTATCGAATTCCAAATCGCGATCAGTTCCAGAACTGAATATTGACAATACGATGGCTCGCATTCTATTCGTCACCGTAACATGACTTGAAAATTTAATTTTATGACTCTTCAGCCAATCATAAAACTCGGTTAGTAAAAATCATCCAATACGAACCGCCAATTCTTCAGTCTACGTGCACTAGCTGGCAGCGGCTATATCTCTTTGTACTGGTTTTTTGGGCTTTTGAGGGCACCGATAGCTTCAAGTGTTCACAATAAAGATTACTTCAAGTTATACTCTCGCATGAATACTGAATTACACGATAGAAAAAGTATTTTCAAAACAGCTACTTCCATATGAACATTGAATTTTACGAATGTTTGGAGTACAAACTGAATAAAAACATTTGATTTTCACATATATTTTTTCTTTCTTGTAATTCAGTGATCTTGTGAAAGTAGTTGTTTCGGAATGGCTTTTTCTTCCAATTTGTATCTGAAAGACATCCCGATGCATGATTTGTAAGTCTTTGTGGAAAGTTTATTTTGAACTCAAATGCTTTGTACAAGCAGTATAACGAGTTTCAGTCAAACGCAAATTCAAAAAACTTACATTAATTGCAAGTAATTTGGATGAGTAATATTTTATATTCATTTCAGATATAAATGCCATTTCAGATATGTCATTTCAGATATAAATATGTCATTCGTATTGGATGACATTATTAATGTCATTTACATAGCTAACTGAAATGACAAGAGTAACATGAAGAGTATGATTGTTTTACCGATTACTTATAAATTAGTCAATATTGAATCATTTATATTCAGATAATCAAATAAGCAATTTTTTTGTAGGACGTGAAAATTGTATCCAGGTTGTTACCCAACGTGATTGCTGATTATGAAGTGTCAGATGACAGGTTTGGTCATCTTGATTTTGTGATGGCAAAAAATGTTGATGTCGTATTGAATAGGAAAGTAATAAAACTATTGAAGAAATATGACTAGTAACGGAAATCTAAGCAGCAAAATTGGATTCGTACGAATTAATGGTCGAAGAGAGCCTTCGTAAGAAATTTATGAATAACAACTTTCTTCTGGGATAATTTCCTTTACAGGAGATTTATAGATGAACCATAGTGGAATTGATATTTTTGAACAACATAAACCTCTTCAGATGAAAAGCTTGTTTCATTATAAAATACACAGTTATAACTGAGAGTTGGGATTTTATTTCATGAAATAATGAAACTTGGCATATTACTTTCTACAAAAACCGCCAAATATAGATACTGTGGAGTATACAGGATCGTTTTGGTTGCGCAAACGCAAAGGACAGTCTGTCGACAGTTCAAATCGAGGAGATACCTACTTTCCGAGCTTTTTGACCTTTCCAATACGTTTCAAACCATCAAAACCACATGGGAGCGTACGCCCAGTTCCTCCGCCATCCCACGCACCGTTTGTGATGGGTCAGTCTCCACCAGTGTCCTTAATTTCTCGTCCTGGATTACTGTAGGTCGACCAATTCTGGGCTCATCTCCGGAACGAAATTTCGAAAATCAACGTTGAACAGTGCGTTCATTAACACTATCATTGCCAAGCTGAGAAATGCAAAAAATAAAAATTTAACATGGTATTAAAACTGACAAAACTTTTGAAACAACTCAAAACTAAGGCACTTGTGATGCACTGTTTGGAATCTTTGGTGTAGTAATAAATCATACTGGAGTTTAATCCCAACACCAAACCGTTATTTCAACACCTCAACACGTGTTTTGATCACCAAGTGATCATCTTTGATAATTTGGCTGATGGTCACAACAAAGTTCGCATGTACACAAGTGTCCAGACATGAACATAGTTTCGATTTCAACATGTGGGTTAGGACGAATGTAATTGAGCCTTTTATCTATCAAAATAATTCAACAAACGAGCGGTACATACATTTGGTAGTAAATTATTTGGAAGATGCTCACAGCTGCTGGTTTCAACAATGTGGTGCTCCAGCACATAACGCCAATTGTCTGTGATTTTTTGAACCGTCGCTTCCCAGGACAGTGGATTGGGACTCATGGTGATACATCCTGGCCTGCAAGGTCCCCCGACCTAACCCCACTAGACTTTTTCCTTTGGGGATATATCAATAATCAAGTGTAGTCTCATAATTTCCAAAATGAAGAAGATTTGCTGAGATTGTTTACTGTGTCCTTCAACAATTTTGTTCAGAATATGTTAACTCAAGTTTTAAATTCGTCTGTGAGACGAGCGTTGTTGTGCTTACAATATAACGGCGGGTTATTCGAATACTTGTTATTAGTTTCTGTTTATTTCCTTTAATACATATTAGCTCCTGGTTATTAAATTACAATTACATTATTTAAACTGAACTTTTGGTATTGCGACTCATCTTTAAATGCAACAACGCAAAAATTTCGGCAAGTGGTGAGTTATAATTTAACTATAAATAAGACTAATCAATTTAGTTCATGTATCAAAATATGATATTTTTTTCCAGCGCGTACTATCTAAAATTCAATCGACCCCGTATCACTTATCCTCATGTTGTTTATTCTTACCTTGGACACAGTATATTTATACAATTTGTAGGGCATCTATTTCCGAATAGAGACTTCATTAGGACACCAATCAAAATACAATAAAAAAAAAACTTGAAAATGGGCAATGCACACAAATTGAAAGGGTATTAGGAGAGATTATTTTTGGGAAAGAAAGGTTTTGGCTCTCTACTTCTCCATCGTGATTCAAAAAATGTGGGAATCTTCCAAACAAAGGAAGAAAGCAATCAGTTTCAAGAAGTAACTCTATACAAAGATGTGAATATGGAGCAAAGAAGTAACTTTCAGACACAAACTGGAGGAAAGAGCTCCCAGCATAAAATTATGACTTTTTGCCACGAAGTGGGTACAATTCACTCATGTCATTGATGATAGTACGTACATGACATTCATTCGCTTATTTGATTAGGTACTGCCATCGATGACATGGGTAGATTTGACCCATTCCATGACAAAAAATTTCAATTTTATGAACGAATCGAGTGTTTTTTCTTATAATGTTATCCGTATTTGACACTGAAGAGCCAATAAAGCTTGTCCCCCACTTGTCCGGCACAGCACAGTACGGCCCGTCCCGTCAAAATAAGGATAGGATTGGAACAATGAAAATGAATGGACAACCGCCCACTAGCCCCGCATGGCACAGCCAAGAGCGTCCGCCACCGCCGGAAAGGATTCCAGCTCTCGGATCCTGTCCGGCAAATAACGGTACGTGCTGTGACGGAGTGGCCAAGTGAGCACGTCGCCGGTCAGCGTCTGCCAGCATCAACTTGTCCAAAAGTGCCTGGGAAGTTTCTGTCTCTCTGTTTTGCTATTCCATCATTTGACAGCATGCTGTCAGATGGTACCTATGAAAATGAACTAGGAAAAATTGAGTTGCTGGTTAAGGCAGGCTCTAGAATATCCAGAAGTTCGAAAAATTCCAATCGCTTTCCGAATCGGAAGGACGAAATCCCGACCTTGAGGTTCGGAAGATTGAACGGCGTGTACACAAGATGGAGGCTAAGATCATGTCGACGAGATATTACGCGTCTCGTATCCAATGTATGATGGATTACAGGGCGGCAAATAGGCCTTTCACGCCCGCAGTGCGGCGAATAGCCGCCAATCTACGACGACCACCAAACAGCGCTGCCTTGATAGGATATGAATGTTAGTGGCTGTTAAGAAGTCACTAGTGAGGAGAGCGGGAAGTATCCCGGAATACCTTAGGTTCCGCGAGAAACCTTACCAATTATTCCAAGAGCCTCCACGTGTTGTGGATAATCCGCCGACCGCTGATCAGGTGGAATTCTTCTTGAATGATATCTATGAACACCCGCAGCCACTCAACTTAGACACTCCAGCCCTAGCGCAGTTCGAAGCTTTCAACAGATGACTTTCGAAGGGCCTTTGTTGGTTCCAAGAACTTAGCTGTTCCAGGTCCAGATGGGCTGAACACTTATTGTCCAGAGTTTTTGAGTGGTCGAGAGGCGGACTATTCTTATCCCCAAAAGCGGAGATTTGTCGATTCCTAAGAATTACAGACCAACAACATGCTTGAATTCGTGTTATCAGTTGTTTACCAGCATCTTATACACACGAATACTCACCGCAGTTGACCGAGTGTTCGAACGGATATATGAGCAGATAGGGTCGAAGAGAGGAGTCGCTGGATGTAAAGAGAACCTGCTCATCGATAGATGTGTAACGCAGGACTCGATACAATATAAGCGTAACCTCTCTATAGCCTGGATCGATTACCGTAAGGCATTTGATACAATTTCGCATGAGCTCATCTTGCATTTGCTCAGATGCCTTGCGGTACTCAACAACATAATGGAATGCATTGAACAACTGATACCACTTTGGCGAACTCGCTTCATTATAACATCTAGTCAAGCAAGGGTCCAAACAGGGTGAGTCACTTTCAGAAGGGGTGTATATCAGGGTGATTTCCTCAGTTACCTTCTTTTCTGTATCTCACTATTGCCATTATCTGTTGCGCTCAAAAATACTCAAGGGTATAACTGTGGCACCCCCGGTAACCGGAGGCACAAGGTCACCCATCTGTTTTATAGGGATGATCTTAAACTTTATGCCTCTGTAGAGAAGGATCTCCATCATTCCTTGAGGGTGGTGGAAGAGTACACGCATGCTATCAGTATAAAATTCGGGATAGACAATACAATGGTCCATCTCGAAATAGATGGACGCATTCTACATCACCTGGATGCCGGAGAGACGTATACTTACCACGGGGTGGAACAACGCCACTCACAAGAGATAACAGCAGTGAAAAACTCTCTCCGCGGTAAGTATCAGCACAAACTTCGACAGATCTGGTCATCGGAACCGTCGAGGAAGAACAAAGTTGCTGCAACAAATATGCTTGCCATTCCAATCTTAATCTACTCGTTTGGAGTATTGAACTGAACTCGCGAGAAGCTGTATCAACTCGACGTAAAGACCCGAAAAATGATGCATCTCTAAAGGAGTTTGCATCCCAAATCGTCCGTTCGACTGTTGTACTTCCCCCGACAACAGGGAGGCCGTGGACTTTTGAGTATCCTTGAGGTTTTTTGCTTGAATCTAGTATAGTGCAAGTGATCCACAGAAAATAATTTTGTTTCATATTTTTTATGATACATTGCAAGACTTAGAAAAGCGTTTCAGACGGATAGGTATAATCTCTATTGAAAATAATTTTAATGAGAAATTTTTGAGTGGCATTGATAACCCCGAGATGATTATCAGTAATACCTCCCCTCACAATTATTCCATAGTTGATATGTGACTGTACTAGATTGAAATATAAGTAATGTTCGTAGCTGTCAAAAATCTTTTCGAAAAACTTGAATTTGTTCAGTAGAAACTTTATTTCATTCGCAACATATTCTGCGTGCTTATTCCATCTTACATTGTTGTCTATTATTATGCCAAGATACTTTATATGTTCTTTCATATTTGTATTCATTGTGTCATTGCCATTATGAATTTACAACGAAGTGTAATTTGGCAAGTTTTTTGCTGAAATAAGTGAAAGGTACAAAGTGAGTTTTTTGTATTGATTGTCAGCAACCTGCTCTTGAACCAACTGACAATTTTTATGAAATCTCCCTCAACCTTGTGCTTCGATTCTTTCCAAGTATCAGCGCGATATAGTACGGCTGTATCATCAGCGAACCTAATAATGGTAACCTAATAGTAGATATTAAATAGAAGAGGCTCCAACACCAGTCCTTGGGGGATTCTATGATACAATGAGAACTAAGTGTTTCATTTATTTTGACGCACTGTTTCCTACCAGAGAGATAGCTTTCAAATAATTTCAGCGATATCCCTCTGAAACCAATGTTTTACATTACCTTTATTAATTTCTTATGTGAAACCGTATTAAAAGTTTTGACCAGATCAACAATGAAACAAAGACATGGTTTACCATTATCCATAGAATCGTAAATTTCTCTTATTAGGTGAATCATTGCATCTTGTGTTGAACTAGCTTATCAACTTTCAGATCTCCGTGTTAGAATAGTTATTGACGACTATTATAATGCCTGAACGATTCCCGAGAAGGGGACTGAAAATTTATTCATTTAACAAT